CTCATGGGCCCCACCGGCACCCGCCATACCAAAGCAGATCCAGGAAAGGGCGCACCCCGTCCAGGCCAAAACCCGACAGGCCCAGAGGCCCCGAGCCCCAGCAGGCAGTCACCAGGCCAGGCCGGCACACACCCCAGCGCCCAGCCACAGACCCCGGGAACCCCTAGCACACCGGCGGCCAGCCGCACACCCCACCGGGGGGCCGAGTAGCAGCGGGCCCCCAGATCATCACTTTCAGTTTCACATTAAAGATCAAACAACAAAAGTTAGCTGTAGCATTTTGTTTTGCAGCCTGGAATACTTCCACAAGTGTTTCATAATAAGTCTACTGGAATACCAGGGTAATCTGAAACTGTAAGGTATGCTAATTTAAAATAAATTTTTTTGTATCCAGAGTTGTAAAGTAACTATGTACAAATACTTCTTTACTGTACTTAAGTAGAATTTTTGGGTAATTTTTGAATAATTCTTTTTCATCCTACTTTTTACTTCTACTTCTTACATTTTCACACAATTATCTGTACTGTTTAATTCTTACATTTTTTTAAAAAGGCAAGAAGTAGAAAGTTGTTACTTTTATTTCATTTTTGCTTGTTTTCATTCCAGCTTGTTATTGTAAAAAATAAATACTATCCATATATCCCCACTATCCAAACTGTGAACAGTAGAGTGAATTTAACTGTGGTTGAATGAGAAGTATAAATATATAAAACTCTGATAGCGTATTAGTTTGTACACAAACAAATCATATCACACCCCAGCAGACATAACCATTAAAATAAAAGGACTGTACTTAAGAAGTATTTGTATTTCATGAATTATATTATTGCATTTGGCTGCAGCCCTCAGATAGATTTTCATTTTGGAGAAAATGTTTGTGCAGCTTTGATATATGTAAATAAACTGAAACAGCTGGACTAGTGCATTCTAAATTTAACATTAATTAATTATATTAATACAATGTAGTCATTTCTGCAGTTTTTGAGGAGATCACCTCCTAATAAATATCATTACAGAAAATCTAACTGTTCATTTTAAATCAATACTTTTACTTTTAATTCTTAAGTACAATAAATATCAGATACTTTAACACTTTTACTCGAGTAATATTCCTAAAAGAGACTTAAACTTTTACCGAAGCAATTTTTTGGTAAGATACTTTTACTCAAGCATCACTTTGTGGTACTTTATACAACACTGTTTGTATCAATTTTTTAAAAGTTGTTTTCAGACAGCAGCAATCCTACTTTTGGTCATGGCCCCACCAAAACTTTCTGAGTTCAGTCAGATCAGAAAAAAAAAATCAGTTTATCTAAAATTAGATCATTCAAAAAGCTATCTGGAACAGGTAAGGTAATGACTGATCATAACCCCTCCACAGTGCACCATTTCAAAGGATCTGAACATTTGCTTCAAGAAGTCAGAGGAAATGTGTGAGAGAAACAGCCGGTCTTTGTGGTTTCCTGAAAGGATTTACTGCACTATTATTGACCATAATTGAAAAATCTCTAAAGTCAACCAGCAGATAGGTAAATATTTAACTATTTAACTGACTGGGCTTATTGAATTGCACATTGTCATCATCAGACATACAGTATTTGTTTGAGTTTGAAAGCAATATCCCCAGCCTGACTTGCACAACAGGGACTAAAATGTCGTGTAAAGTGCACAAACCCTTCCAGCCCYGTCTCATCAAAGACGAAGCTTTTGTTCTGACAACCAGACTATTATTTCATGCTTTTCTTCCCTTTCTTTTTTTTAATACCCTCTCAAAGACTTGGCCATCTTGCAACATGCCTCAAAGGAGTCTGGAGGTCCTTTTGTTTCGAGGTTTTCACACTTGAGATGCCGTGGGTATTCTGTGTGAGAGGGAGGGACAGGGACAGCCTGAAAGGGAGAAGGGTCGGGCCGGCTCCTACAAAAGGAAAGAGCCTTTACTAAACACTGGGCTGGCTTTAAGAAAAGCGAGCAGGATTAGTGTGCACAGACCAAGGAACTAATCTCTTACAACATAATAGAACTGTACATAAACAGGATCCCTGAGAGGTGCTGAAGCACTGAATTATTAAGGGCTCAGGATAATTTGTCAAAACGGTGACAAGAGCAGACTTCAGGCAGGTTTTGAACATTGGGGTGGTGTCATCTCTTAGCAAACATGACATCATTACTGTTTTATACTAACATACAAAGAGACACAAAACAAGCTGTGTGATATTAAGTGGACACTGACAAACAAGATTACGATGGGGGGGAAATAAAGATATTCTTTACCCTTGAAGATTTAATCGGTTTTAACACAAAAGGTCTGACCGATGTGTCCAAATCTGCAGCATTTTTAAAATGATTTAGAGTTTTTGCTCCAAGAATTTGTAATTAATCGTAAGAGATGAACCCCACATTCGTGGTTATAGACAAATTTTAGGTTCATAATGTGAGGTTTGGATGTCTAACAGCAACAAAAGGATATGTGGTGGGTTGAGTCTTCTAATGATGGAGGAAAAGGAAAGCTGTTCTTGTTGCTTTTCACTGATCTAAATCTAACCATTGGCGTAAATCAGCTCCAGCTTCTGAAAACAAATTTAATGAGATGACAGAAACCACAAAAAATAAATAAAATATTCTTAATTAGTTTATCTATTTTTTGTAGTGAATTCTTATTTGATTTACCTCTTTCCACAAAACTCATGTTTTTACTCCTGTCACAGCAATCAAAGGCTTAATTTAATTGTTAATCATAACAACTATGAATTGCTGATTGCTGTGAGACCAGAATAGGCTTTTTTGCTGTCATTTTGAGTTCAACCCACAGATTTTTGGATGGGAATCGGGTGTAAACTCTCTGGACATGTCTCTTCAAGATGTTGATATCACTCTCAATTAATCATTTTACTTCTCTGGTTGTATGTTTTAGATCATTGTCTTGTTTAAAGGACAAAAAAAAAACTTTAAGAGCCAAGTTTTTCTGCAAACTGCCTGATGTGATCCTGCAGAATGTCCAAAGTAGTTTTTTCCCAAGGTTCTGTTTTGCATTCTGGGCAGGTATGTTTTATTTGACTTAGTCTTTTGGAATATAAAAATGTAATTTACCTGTTTAACTGGGACAAAGAAAAGCACTTTAAAGACTGCTTGAGCAAAAAATATGGGCTTCCCATTTTTACCTGGCAGACTRTAAATATGTTTTAGGAAAGCCAAGTGGTAAAAAGGAAGAATTGGAATTGCCCCCTAAAGTAGTTTTCTCAAAATGCCAAACTGGCTTGGCCTATTGGTAGAAGTACAAAAGAGAAATCTACAAAACTGAGTGCAAACGTCCAGAGATCTGCAGAAAAAAACTGGCAATGTGCAGCAGGACTGAAGCTTCCAGCGAAGCCAAACGTTCAAGAACTGATTAACAGAGAGCAATTACAACATGTCAGAGTTGTCCTGCCAGTTTAGACATGACCCTGTCAAACATCTGCAGAGAAACCTTCCAAACTCAAAAACACTGGAGATCTCAGGATAAAAATGTTCCAACGTCCCTGCTGCTGTCGTGGTACATAAAATTGGGTGAAAAGTTGCCAAAAATATGAATAATACCGGGTTTATAATAGATTGCTTTGATTTTGGGAAGATTTTGACCAATCTAAAATACATGTCCGTGAAAACGTTATGAACAATGAATATCTTACCTGTAACTTTTATTGATAAAGTTGGCATCACACTGACGAGACACTTACACATAACTGGGACTAATCTGCACAATGAGACATAGATTTACTTTTGTGTAAACATTTCCACTTCTTGTTTTATAAATGTTAAAAAAACTGTTGAGTGTGGGGGCCATTATTACTTTTCAAACATACAAGTGCTTTTAGAGGTCAAGTATTATGTTTACAACAGGTTTATATGGACCTGTAGGTCATGTGTCTCAGTTCTCCTGAGTCGATCACTGAATGAAGCCCACCATGATGGATTTCACAGCAAAAGCAAAAAAAGCAGCAGTAATTCCCAAGCAGCTGAATGTTGGAAGGAAAGGCAACAATCACTAATTAAAGCAGCAGCAAAGGGCACAGGTTAAGGATTGTTTTATTACTTAGCCGTTTGTACAGTTTCTAGCATGGAAAAATAACATGTAACATAAGACTCTATTTACAATTCCATTTTTACAAAATGTCTTTACAAGATTTTTTTTTTCTTTTCCTTGGATCAAAAATTTGAGACAAAAATAAAACAAAACACACAAACATCCACATTCACGCACATCAAAACCAAACTTTGTAGTACACACATAAATAAATATAGACATTCACTGACTGTTCCGGGACAAATATTTCTACAGCCAAGAACATGTACAATTCATTTCCTCACGAGTTATAATTTTATTAATAAACATGACATATTAATTCCAATATATTTATTTGTTAATCTGTTAGGGAAATATGGCTAGGATATTGAAAAGAGGTAACACAGACATTGTTTCATGCCGACGGGGATGCTAACGGTCATCATGCAACTCGAAGCAAGTAATTCATTTACAGCTCTAAAATCAAATGTACTACATGCAACATACTACATGAGATATTCTGGGTTAGACAAGACTTTGGGTGCATCAGTTCAGACTGGATGTCTAAGCGCCTCTTTAAAGGGTAACACAAAATAAATAGATGAGTTTCTACATTTCATTTCAAGAGTAAACAAAGGTTCTGTTTTTTCCTACTGTCTGACCCTGTCCCATCGAATCCCCCCCCCCCCAAAAAAAAACCAGGCTTTTACCACATCCAGCCAGAGGGCGTTCTGTTGTGCACGACTGGATTGCAACACATTTTAGAGTTCTTTCATCACTTCCTGTTTGAGTCTGTGAGGCGGGGRGGGGGGGGGGGGGGGGCAGAGTATGAAGTATAAGTTTTTCTGTACACACACAAACCCGTCTGGTGAAAAGAGAGTGTGGATAAGAAGGAGCTGACGTGTTGTAGAGTCTTAAGAAGGAAGAAGGGTAGGGGTTGTCACTTCATGGTCTGGCGTGCGGTGCTCCTTGTTTGGCTCCACGCTTTCCTTCCCTGGCAGAGATGAGGAGAGAGCTGCRGGTTCTTCTCCCTGTTGGGTTTGCTTCGATTTGAACACTCAGTGTCTCTCCACCGACGGCTTCTGGTGATGGGGGTGGTGCTGCCGGAGTCTGGGTCCTGGAAGGAAAAAAAATAATCTAGATTGTCAAACATGGCAACAAAGACTATTAATTTAATGATTCTTCTTGGTAGATTGTCAAAATATTATAAATCACCTCTAAATGAACTTGAATGGCTTGAACTTGATTTCAATAAATCACTCAGAAAGTAATTATTGGCTCACTCTGCGATGGATTTAAAAGGTGGTATTATGCAAAAAAAAWWTTTTGAGTTTTATATCATGTTCTAATGTCATTCCCTCATCAAAAACACACCCGGAGTGTTGCTTTCACTCATTCATGCATGTTTGAGAAACCCTTGAATCTCCAGTGGTAGCCATTTGAAGTTGCCTAAATGCTTGCTTGTACAAAGCACCGCCTATTTGTACATAGCCCCTCCCTGGAACTCATTCCTCAGCCGAGCTCCCTCCCTTGAAGCGTTGTTGTGAAGACGTGCTGAAGTGGAAGTGTCTGAAACAGTAGGACGTTCTTAAAAAGACTTAGACTATGATGCAAAGTCAAATTTATAAACAGTGTTTTCATAAATACTGTAGGTGACAGTTACCTGATTGTGGTAAAGAACTGAACTATGAAAATAAATAATACCCCCACCCCCCTTTAGCTTTTAAAGGCACTTGATTCAAGATGGCTGCCACAGATTATCAACATGAGCAAACACAAAAATGGCTAAAACATGGTCAATTATATAGATACTGAGGTTTATCTGAGTCAATGCCATCACATAATGCGAGCACTAGCAGACTGTGCAAAACTTAGTTCAATATGTTGTTATGTAAGGTGGCAAGTGATCTGCAACTCATCAGAAATGCTACTTTTTCTTTATTTGAGTTATTTTGTTGTTTGCAATCAAACCTAAGAAAAAAACTTTGAAAAGCACATAAATAAGTTGAACAAAGCTGCTCATTTTAAACAGAATATTGGGCTCAAAGTTAATTTCCTTCGTAGGAGCTAGACTCTAGAAAGAGGATGCAAATAATTTGTTGTTGTTAAAACAAGTTTCTTTATGTGTGTTGTGCAGATGGAGGGACCGCTTTAAAAACAAAATCCTTCCCTCAACACTTTAATAAAGTCTGAAATACAACCACACAGTAAACTCAGCCCTCTTTTGAGTCTTAAACATTAGCTGCCTTCTGCTTGCCTCTGGGGGGGCTACATCTGGTTGACAGTCAACGTGTACCAAGTTTTTATTTGTGTGGGGATCAAATTTGGTTGTAATGATAATTTAACTTTGAATCAGTGCCGTGGAGTAGGAGAGGAAGACCACAGAGGAGGTTCATGGATGTAGTTAAGGAGGATAGGCAGGGGGTTGGGGTGACAGAGGATGATTTGCTGAGGTCACCCCCAAAACTGAAAAAAAAGTAATTTTTGTCATAATAAAAATGCCTATATGACACTCATGTTCACCTTAACTGATGGTAACTTACGATGCTGTATGACCGGTAATATATTCGGGGTCTGGAAGGTCTTGACAGTGGCAGGACCCTCTCCTCCAGTTGTTATGACCTGCACCTCCAGCCTGTAGTAGGTGGACGGCCGCAGGTTGGACACTACGAGCAAATTATGATCCTGAGAGGTGAAGGGAGGAAAGCAGAGGACATGTTATCAGCCCAGATACAAAAGCTTTGAATTTGACAGGATTTTAATTTGAACAGGATGTGAAACAGAGATTTATAACCGTCTTTGCAGAAACCACAGACACAAACAAAGGCTTTTGTATTCATAAGGCTGCTGCCAGCTTGATAAAGTGTGCAGTAGGTGGTTTTATTTATAGACAAGCTCAGGAGGCTGGGAGGTGCAGATAGGCACAACGTGCTGTTGATGAAGCAGATTATGTCAAAGAGCGGCTGTTTCAGAACTTCTGCAGAAGATAAAAGAGGAAGACGTGGAGGCAGATGAAGAGGCAGGAGAGGAAAACTTCCAACAGGATGCAACACTTTTTCTGATTTACTGTATATATGTGCCTGTCTTTATGACACATCTTATTACAAGAGGTCACAGCAACATCATCCTAAAATCCCTGTCACATCTGACAGATGCCGTAAACTGAAATGCGGAGAACAAATGTATTTCCGGTGGTGGGCACCAGCCCGCTAAAGCACAAATCCGCTAATTGCAGACCTAAATATTTCGTTTGCGCTTTAGCGGTCTTACTAATTTTTAWAATTCATAAGCGGATTTGCGCTTTCTAAAATTAAAATGCAGTACCGCTAATAACTAATTGTCTACCAGTCATCATTATCTTGAACAGCGGAAGGTATGGCTGTCAATGAATCACAACACACATGATTTATCCAACAGCACCCCTCCAACATAAACACACTTATTGAGAAGGTATACATCCTTGCTGACTGTTGCTTTCGGTCACGGTTTTGATTTCCCACAATGCTTTGTGTCTGTTTACGTAGCAGGAAGGCAATAGCAAAAACAGTTAACTTTTGTAATCCATACTAAAATTTTGTATGTATTGATTTATTTTACTTTACAATCGGAGCTCCTTTAAAAAAAAGTTTAAACGCTGGAGCTCAATACTTGACATAACTGGTCGAAGCAATCGGCCAACGAGGTTAAAGACTCAGAAATGATTTAAAGATGTTATGCTGATGAAGACAGACATCTAGAGGTCAACTGGAGAAGCTACATGGATAACTTTAAAATCCAAGCTCTTATTTTGAAGGGAAGATAGCTTCTTGTACTCTGTGCTTTCGTTTCTCGTCACAAATCAAATCCATCGTGTACCCAGAGTGCATCGCTTCAGTTTTCCAATAAACAGTTTTAAAATTACTTTATTGATGCTTCTTTAATGCAAAATCTACAACAAACAAAAGAAAAAGACAAAAAAAAAAACAGCCGAACTAGCAATCCTCAACAACTTTTTAAAGAATCAGCCGAACTAGCAATCCTCAACAACTTTTTAATTTTTACACCAGGAGCCAAAAGGTCTGTTTCAGGAAATCACATCCCCAGCAATCGTAGAATTAAGTTGTAAAAGAGTTCATACACAACTAGTTGGCAGTGYTGTGCACATACTGTATTGTACATGAATTGTTGCCAGCTAGTAAGTGTCAAATTGAACTTGCGCTTTAAAATTAGCTTCCGCTAGTTTTTCTATGGCATAAGTGCTTTTGAAGTTGTGGACCTAAATATTTTCATAAGCGCTTTAGAAATTGCGGAGCTAACTTTTGGATTAGCGCTGCCCACCACTGTGTGTTTCTAACCGCATATTTTACAAAACTTAAAAGGTTATTTGTATCATTCTGTTGAAATGTGTCACATTTAACATGAAATTTTATTCCAGTGGGATGGGACGTACCGGAGGCAGGATCTGGGACTGCGATATGATGCTATTGGGCAGGCTGTTTTGCCGGCTTTCTGTGTTTATCTCGGCCCAGGTGACCTGGAAGCCTGTGATTCGCTGATGAGGAGCCACCTTGGATACACGCCACAGGAAACTGCCGGTTATGTTTCCCTCATTAATGGAGAAAGAGGCTGTCAGGTTTTCTGGTTTAGCCAAAACCTTTGGAAGCACTGTAACTGTAAAACAAAAACAGGTGGGGTTAATATTCTCATTACTAGGTCAAAATAGAAATGTAAAAGGTGGCATTTTTTCAACGCCGGTATAGATTTTCTGCATTGTCATGACACTGTAACACGCCAAGGAATCAAATGACTGTGTCCACACTGAAGTGGATCGATGTTAAAATGCCCTTCACGTGTCAGGCGGCTGAACGCTCACCTCCCTCCCCCGGGCAGGGGATGTGTTTGTGAGTCTTGCTCCGGATGGTAGCGCAGGATGGGGTGAAGAAGGTGGTGCTCTCGTCCTTGGAGCGTTTCTTGGACTTCAATAGGTGAACGGTGACTTTGTACTTGCAGGAGAACAGCAGACCTGGGAGGTTGATGTAGTTCTCCTGAGCAGAGAAACAGATTTTTTTTTCAGCCCAGATGACTTTGTGGTGTCACCCGGGTCAGGTCCCGTGGAGCTTGGGAGATAATTAAATACACAGCACTGGGGGTAGATCACTTTCCAAAGCCAGGACTGAAACATGCCCCACATCACAGCACTACACTGAACACCCACATGGTTTTTATCTAAGCCAGAGTTTATACTGAGATAATCTCATGTTAAGAATTGATGAAGTAAGAGCTGTTTTTGTCAGATAACATTGCTAAGATTTTTTTGCTAACAAACAGACAGGGCTGACTCCAGCTGTTAATGCTAAAGTTTGAAGCAAGGATCTTGTGCAATGTGTAGCGCTTGAAGTATGAGTATTACTGCCTATCCTTTGGCAGTGACAATAATGAGGAATATACATTAAAGGAACAAGGAGCAGCAACTACAGTGGCTTCATGTGCAAACTGAAAAGAGAGTATCCAGTAAATCCATGCTAATATATTCTCTGCTGTGGCTTTACGCCGTGAACCGATTTCAAAATTTAATCATCTATTGATCTTAACACGAAACACTTTTCTCATTTCTCTAAGGAAACAAAAAAAAATCTAGCTGAAYAGTGGATTCAGACCTTGCGGTAATAAAGACRGCCTATATTAATAAGGAATCCTCTCAGGACAGGGTGTATATTCTCCCTGATATGAAACAGCTTTGATTAAAAGTGAATGAGGCTCTGCGCTCACATAAAAGCACAAATCTGGAATCCTCCTCGGTGATCTATGGAAAATGTACATTTCCTAGCAACCGGAGAGCTGCTTCCCAAAGAATGTGTTAATTGCCAGACTCTGCCATCCCATATCAGCCTGAGTGTCCCCCCATCTTAAACTCTACACAGACAGGACTGGGTCCTAAAACAAATCCTCGTGCACGGCTGAGGCCATTGGAGGTGAATGAACCCTCGTTCCGGGAAACTCTCTCTAAGTTAATGCGTTTTATTGGCCAAAACACCCCATGCCTGAACRTAATTACTGACTCATAGTATTCAAAACAGCAAATGCAAATCCAACATAACAGGACTTTGGGTTCACTCTGTGGAGCTGTTTTTTAAACTGATATTTTTTTAAGCGGCGTTGTCCTTTTTAAGCATCAAACAAAAGGTTAGGTGCGTGCTTTGCATGGGCTTCGGCTGCTAATCAAATCACAGCTGCGTGCACCGACTGCCCTTTGTGACTGGACTGTTTGGTGAGTCTGCAGGGGACAAACCTGCGTGACGGATTTTGATGGTCCTCGAGTCTCATTGTGGCTGCAGTACTCAGGCATCCACTGGACGTGGTAGCGACTTACAGTCGGATCTGTAAAAAGAGAGAAGCATGAGCGAATGGAACGGTGAGCAGTTTATTAAAAAAAATAAAATCAAACTACTCAATATGCTGAGCCTTTTACTTAAAACTTAATCAAACAAAAACATGCTCTGTTCCAAGGGCGAGTCCTACATTCAAAATTTAATTTAAGTAACAGCATTAGGGAGCATATGTCCCAAATGTATTTAATAAACATAAAGTACCCATTAGGTCAACAATAATTGTCGATGGCAAGATTAGGCAACTAAGTGATTAGTAAATATACAGTATTTACTATATGTAAGAATTTTGGATAATTTCTGCATCATTTAGAACCCTTTTTAAGAATTCCTGATACACATGTTTCCTAAGTCATTTAAGCACAAAATAAAATAAAAATTCAAAACAGACTAAAAACCAGAAAAGCTGCCTTTTTTTAATTTGCTGCCAGACTTTCAAAGACTCAAACTAAAACTGCATATCTGCTGATTGGAATATCTGCAGGGAAATAAGTAAGTGAGGTGAGCACTGTGGGTTCCTGCCAAACGGGTCAGTTGTTGTCCTCTGCCTGAGCCTGCCAGTCCAACCTCAGCTTCTCTGTCAGTCTCCTCCTCTGGTGAGGACCAAGAGTTGGGGCTGTCACGATTAGTCGACGACTAATTGATTATTAAAATAATTGATGACAATTTAATAGTGGATTCATCGTTTTTTTTTTTTTGTTCTTTACTTTGTCTCTCTCTCCAAACTGCTTTGACACCTTCCACTGCCACATCTGCCTTTCTGTCCTTGACACACATGCGCAGTAGTGGTAACCGGGGTAGGCCGCGGACGTCACAAAACATTATTCAAACAGGCTCTAGTATCATGGGTACAACACACCTGATTCAGTGCTTCAATTACCTCCTTAAACTCTGTAGAAGCCTGTCAATCATCCATTCATGCAAACCAGGTGTGTTTGAGCAGGAAAACAAGAAAACATGCAGGACAGTGGCCCTCAAGGACCGGAGTTCGACACCTCTGCGATATGTGAAACAGAAACATTGTCGTCTCTGTCTACTCTAAGTTTTATCATCTGAATGTGGCAGCTGGAGTAGAACCTATTGAAGAGGTTTATCTTTTTTATTTCCCAAATGACTGGCCAACTGAAGCACTTTTGCCATAAGTTCAACTTTTCCTATAGGTTCCGAGGACCTACTCAGCCAAGGTTCCAGACAAGATGCGGTGAGCTGACGATTTCATGCCAGCAAACCTGAAAACCAGGGAGCCATGCCCCACGGCAGCGACTGCATCAAAACTGACATTCTTATCCACCATCCTCTAAAGCCACATCAACTTTATCTTTTTATTATTATTATTATTTGTAACATAAGCCATGAAAGCTTTTTCTAGTTCACTTTTAACTTGTGGATGACCAATCATAAACTGAGCACTGAAAATGTTCATCTAGCTGTATGAGTTAAAGATGTACCAYGAGAACAGAATAGTGTAGAACTAAATTAGGGCGAGGTAGGTCCCACTACACTCAACTTTTAAACATTTAGTGACACGTAAGTCTTTTAACAATCTTGGTTTTGCATCTTGGAGGTCTTGACGTGGTTGGTATGAAATAGTATTAAAAAAAGTTTTTTTTAAAGTACCCGACATCTGTCTCCTCGTGAGGTGTCTTCAAGACATTAATTGTACAAATTTGCTTTGTCTCAAAACAAACTAAAACATATGGCTACAGTGTTATCTTGGTTCTTTAAGTGCAGATCTTGAATCTCCTTGACTTCAAGGTCCTGGTTTAAATGAAACTATCACTGAGTAGACAACTGCACAGCTGCTCTTCAGAGAAATAAACAAGACCAAGCAAACCAGTATGTCTGAAATACGCAGGGACAGTCACCTGCATCAGAAAACCAAGGTTAAAATGTAACTACACAATCTGAATTACACCTATAAACTCAACTGTATCTGTGTTTTAGTTGTGTCCAGTTTGTGTACATACTGTATAGAGTGCAGAAAACATCAAGTAATGAACAATAAAAGGACAAAGAGGAATGATTAACTTTATTAACTGGAACTGATAGATTATACATTTTCAGTTTTCTGGTAGGAACAACATAAACATCAGTTACTGTCTCTTAAATCAAGCTGAACATCTTGCTGCGGTCATRATAGGAGTTTACACATAAAACGTTAGTTAGTTAACAAAAATTATTTTAATAAAATAAGAATATGAATTTCAAAACTTACTAAATGAAGCTAAATATTTATCCCAACATGAYAGCTTTATTTTGACATTTATTTTCATAAAATTCTTAACATTTGAACATTTTAGGCAAATAGAAAATGATGTCAAAAATGTTTAGCTGAGACTGATAGTTTTCAACATACGTAGTAATTTGTTCTTGTATATAACTAAGTTTTGTGATTATTTGTAGGGACATTCACTTTCTTTAAGACATTTCAAAAAACAAACAAACAAAATATAACATTTGATGAAAAGCAATTGATTTCTGTCATTTAGACACGAAACAACCAAGATAAAAAAAATTAATAAAATCTGTTCCATGATTAGAAATTGAAACTCACTGAAACTTCAGTAAATTCAGTCTATCCGAGTTTACAGAACTCAGCACTTGACAAATCTAACAAACCGCCAATCCAAAGCCCGGCACAGAGCGGCTGGGTGAACGTGGTCTGGACTCTGTGGAGTAGGGTCATGGTTTCAGAGATGCTGTAGAAACACAGAATCCCTGCACTTTGATCCAGATACACTCCTACTCTGAAGGACTGAGGACCCGAGATGGGAGTTTTGATGTTATTGTACCAAAATTTATAACCGTTTAAGGAGCAGAATAACGTCCAAGATTTGTCGTTGCGTCCAAACACACATTCGTTCCCTCTCCCAGCTCTGCTGATATTTTTATACGCCACTGCTACAGAAACTTCTCTCCCTCTCCACTCCACCTCCCAGTAACAACGACCAGTCAGAAGCTCTCTGCTCAGGACCTGACACCATCCTGTGAATCTGTCTGGGTGGGCAATGTAAGACTGATGCTTTTTCATTACGTTTACCTTCCTGTTCCCCTCTGATAGCAACAACTGTGTGTGTGCTGTGTTTGGATCCAGAGTGATTTTACAGAAATATTTTAGAAAGTCAGCTCTGCTCTTTGGCTCTGGTTGTGACAGTAACACATCGGCATTAGTGGCTACCGGGGAGATGCTCCTCTCCTGGTCCGTCAGAATGTTCTGTAGTTTATCTTTGAGCTCCACCACAGCTGCTAAGACCTCTTCAAAGTACCTGAGAGGACGAACATTTATGCTGGATGAGCGTGGGTGTCCGGTGAGWGCTGACGGTGACGGGTAGCTGTGTAGAAGCTGTTTGGGGTCCTCGGTGTTTAAAAGACGCTCCAGCTCGGTGTCTGTCTCCCTCAGTTCATTGATCTCCTGCTCCAGCTTCTCCTGAAGCTCTTTGACATGACTCACTTCAGTTTCCTGCCAGGAACTGATCTGCTGCTTCACGTCAGAGCTTCTTTTCTGGATCAGACAGATCAGCTCAGTGAAGATCTTCTCACTTTCTTCCACTGTTTTGTCAGCAGACAGATCGATGACTTCCACCTGCTTCTGAAGCAGCTTCACGCTTTTTTCTTGATCCAGGATTCTCTGCTGGATTTCTTCTCGTCTCACCTGGAGCTTTTTCTGTCTCTCAATGATGTCCTCTGTGGCTGAGCCTGTGTCGTGGCCTTTATTTTCATCCACAGAGCAGAGATAGCAGATGTACTTCTGTTCTACATGGCAGAACATCATGGTATCACCATGACAAGAGCAAACACTCTTAAACGGTTCCACCAGCTTGTGTTTCTTAGACGCCACTGAATCACAGTGGCGATGAAGGTGTTTTTCACAGAAAGAAGCCAGACAAACTAAACAGGACTTCACAGCTCTCAGTTTTCTTTCAGTGCAGACATCACAGACAACATCTTCTGGTCCAAGATCGGCAGGAACCACTTGGAGTTTGGTCTTCTTCAGCTGCTCCACTAACACTGCCAACATGGTGTTTTTCTTCAAGACGGGCATTTGTCTGAAGGTCTGCCTGCACTGGGGGCAGTTGTGGATTCCCTTCTGGTCCTCTTCATTCCAGTAGGTTTTAATGCAGTTCTTGCAGTAGCTGTGTCCGCAGGGAATAGTCACTGGATCCTTCAGCAGATCCAGACAGATCGAACAGCAGAAAGCTTCTCGGTCCAGCTGAACTGCCTTTTGTGCCATTTCTCCTCTCTGTGGCCACGGCTGCACGAGTCTCATTTACGTTTGTATTTAAGCTTTTGATCTGAAGGGGAGGGAACAAGGAAATACTGTGTACAGAGTGGACTGGCTTTAATTGGGAGCAGGAAAAAGTGGAACAGGTTATCAAGTTTATGCACATGGCAGAATAAAGGGAACTATAAATGCAACCTTTGTCTCCTCCCAATAAAAAGTCAGTTAAAAATTTACTTTATAGATGTTTTTGGTACTATATTTTTTTGTTTTCACTTAAAACAATTTTTTTGGTTCAACAAAAACAATGTAGATCAAATAATAAATTCTCTAAATAAATTAGTTTATTCATCTTTATGTATCGTAATCTCTTTGCATTAGTGTTGTAATACAATTATTAGCAAGTAATGATGAAATCAAAGAGATTATCTTATCCAGCATTACGACACACTCCAACTTTTGAACAATTACTAGGAGGTCCTGAAGAACCTGCTTTGACCAGTGATTTATTGCCCTGATCTTATTAAAACCAGTTTCCACCAGTTTTTTTTCCAAATCAGGTCAGTAGAAATCTGTCTCGACTATAAGCAGTGTTGGCAAAGACATTGTGCTTCAACCTGAACTGATTGTTGGGTTGTGAAGTGGGGAATTGAAAATATCCTTCATCCATCCTGAGAACTTCATATAGGTATAACAAAACTCCCCATCAAAAACTGGATTGCCATGTCTAAAATCTTAGATGGTAACTAGCAAATAAATACAACTAACTGTAATTTCTACCCACTTAAATATTTTGCATCGAAAACGTGCATTGCCTGTTCATTTCCAATCCAGAAAAACACTCATCTCAAAAACTACAAACATTGACTATTTAAGTCCCTCAGAGACAGGAGACATTGGCGTACCGCTTGTTAAAATCCTTTTGAGGCCATCCAAAAGTTCTTCTCCATAGCTTCACAAAGCTCCTATACAACTAAGGTTTTGCCTTTACAACTGTTCAAACCAGGGCTACATCCGGACAGGTCACAAGTCTGTCACAGGGCCACATAGAGACAAACAAGATAAACAAGCATTCACACTCTCACACTTACAGGCAATTTAGAGTGACCAATAAACATCAAGTTTTTATTGTTTTTATTTTATTGGTTTGTGGGAGAAAACGCACGTGTGCACCGGAAGAACATGCAACCTCCATGCATGAAAGCCAGGAGGCATACCTGCGACAACCTCGCTGTGATGTGACACATATTTCTACTTCAAAGAAATACATATTAATTTTCTGCAACATTGTGACAATGGACTAACCAAAATATGATAATAAAGAAACTGCAGTTTTACAGTTTCCAAAATTTCAGATCATTTAAAAGAGAAGTAAATGACTAATTCCAAACATAAGCACAGAAAGGGTTACAATGCACTCAAATTAGAGCACACAAACATTCTCAGTGCATATTCCTTTACATGGAAGCAAAAAAACTGCCCACATGCATTTGTCTTATGTGAATAACTTATTGTAGGGCTGCACGGTATATGCGATGGCAGAAACAGTATGAAGTTGGCCTATGGTAGAAATTTACCCTCCACCGTCCTGTCGTCAGTTACGTTATCGCACCTGTGTCAACACGGCTGCGAGTGCAGAGACAACTGAGCAGGAGTTTGAAATATTCTTAAAATAAATGAAGAAATATAGTGTTTTTAAAAACACATATAGAGAGAACAAATTTCCCCCTCCCACTGTAGAAAAGTTACGCTGTGTCTCGGGATCATTTCTCCCTCCCTCCCCGCTGCACGTCAGGCAGAGCGAAGCTTTAACAACCGTAGTTTTTTCACACCCAAGTTGTCAGAGAAAAAACTTGTTTTTTGTGTATTGTTACCCACAGAGATGACAAAAAAAGATGTGGACGTTCCTTCAGTCATAAATCCATCTTGCTAATGTAACAGTAGGCTTCTGCTCTGAGAGAGCAGCAGAGCAGCAACTAGTAAGTTCAGCAGGCAGAATCTCATTGTATGGCAGGCTGATATTACATTTATTTGGCTTCACCACACTTACATTCCAGTTATCTGAAATTGTTTTATGACTAGGACTATGTGCAGCTTAACTCTCTTAAGGTCACACTATAATATTTTAGGCAACTTATGACAACTTCAAATTTTTTTTATGACAATTACTAATTTTACTTGAAGTACTGTTTATAACATCCACTTTATTGTGATATTGTTGAAAACTTGAGAMATATTTTTGTTTGATGTTGAAACCTTTTATCATTTGCACTACAGCAAAAATGCTAGGTTTGATTATGATTAGTTTTCTGCAAAATAAATGCTCTAAAAATTACATTATCTTTGTTTTTTTATGATAAATTTCTACCGCGATATATACCGTTACCAAGAAGGGATTCAATTTATACTGTGAGATGAATTTGAGGTCATACCACCCAGCCCTAACTTATTGGTATTTCATAAATTACAACCATCATGTTTACATTTTTGAAGCTTTTCATACTGTTTATCTCTAAAACAAACTTTAAAAAAAAACTCACAAATGTTCTTTATTTTATATTTTTATTAGCTCAACATTTACAGTTTCCTCCTTGTCACCTAAAAGCAAATCTCAAAAAGTGAAAATCATCACTTCATTACACCTCAGCATCTCAACTCCCCCACAGTGTTTATCAACCCATCGCCCTCATCTTGTCTTACAAGATTTATAATTAATTCAACTGTGTTTCTTGGATATATATTTTTTAAATACTTCTCCGATTAATAATTGAGTTGTGCTATGTTCACCCCTCAGCGGGAGCCTGGGTTACAGCGGGGAGATAAAAGGGGTCCTTTGAAGGCTGAGACACAGATCTGGTACTTGGAGCCCTTGAGCTCATTGGAAGCAGAAGAGAGGAATTACACGGAACCGGGAAATTTGGGGTGGGGGGAGTGGGGGATAAACAAGATAGGTTAAGCTGGGTCTGATGAAGAGGGGAAGTGGAATGTAAAACATGAAATAGGACAAGGAAATCAGGTAGAGTACAAAACCGCTGCAGCGTTTGATGAATCAGAACCAAAGTGCTGTCTCTTGTCAAAGCTAGGCAGACAAAAGATACATTATCAGAGCTAATGTACAATATCGTACTCTTTTGTCTGCTGGAGAAAATCCAGAGGCCAGACTGCTTTGGATCACAGACACAATGAGTGAGAGTTTAATCATGCTTCAGTTAACCTGTCCCCTTTTTCTGTCACACAAACCAGATGTCCAGAGACCCCAGTTTTCCGGGCCATCTGTGTGTTTCTATGTTTATAATAGTTAAAAGCAAGGCCATCCTTCAGACTAACGAGAGGCTGTTGCAGACACACCACCGAGCGGGACCACAATACAAGAGGCAGAAAACAAAGCGGGAACCTGGATTAACTCTGCTGTGCTACACTGCGATTCCCCAGCCATGCTTGACCCTTGTCAGCATCACTCAGCTCACCGAATCCAGAGCCAAACTTGCTAACAGCTCCGCGCCAACTCTGTTCTCCTGCTCTCCTCACTCCAATGCAGCAGTTGGTGTCTCACCAGGCATCCCAATCCAGGGATTGCATTCTTGACTCTAGGATGTGGAGTTTGGCTTGGGCGATGACATATATTTCTAACATAACATAGACCAGTGAATGGAACTTGACAGGCTACCCTGAGACCTTGGCTTCCAAGGTTTCCATATTTTCACTCTGGTATTAGCAGAAAGTTTTCAGGGAATGGATGATGCCGGGACAGGCATTCCTTATAGTCTTTAACCCCATGTGGTGCTGCAACCCGCTGCCATGTCTACTCCCTATGACATCAGCTTTTGTGAAACAAAACACATTCAAAGCAAATGTGAGGATCTATTGAACACAGCTGAACTCCAACGCTGTGTGTTTATTGTTCTCTGCTAAACGGTGGCTCCTTTCTGCAGGTCCATGTGCAGGTTTCACTCACATCGCAGAGCGCTCACATTACCAAACCCCATTATCAAGACCCATTGCTTTATTTACATCATCTGACACCATGTTTAAGCCAGTGGGAATCAGTCCCAATATCTTTTTATCTGCATGAGTCATAGTGATTGATGGGAATATTGGGGCACTAATTTGATTCAGGCAAAGCTTAAAAACGGAGGGCTTACCTCCTCGTTTCTTCCARTAGACTCGGACCTGCAGTTGACCGTCCTGGTAGAAGGGCGTGCCTACTTCAAGAGGGCCAGAGGGGCGTTTGGCCAAGGTCGCACCAAGAGAGGATATCTCCTCCTTCTTTGACTTGAGCACCAGTTTTGCTGGGAAGAGAAGAAAGAAGTGTTTGCTGCTGTAGCTAAGATACAATATTAACTGTGTTACAGCACAGTCTTTACAACGGTAACAAGCAAATATATTTCTGAGTCAGATTCGTGAAACAGCACGAAGAGAAGTTTATTCTTCGAGCATCAATGTGCTGTAACTCAATGGACACAATATTTGCAACACTGCAAAGGTCGTAGGTTCAGTTCTCTTCAGAGACACACACACAAAAAGAAACACTCACATTTCACCAAAGCTTGCTGAAGAAATAAAAACTACAAATGACTGCAGACATGCTGGCAGCATACCTCTGCCAATTCTTGTTTATTTGGACATTTTTGGTATTTCAACTCTCATGAGAAGAAAACAAACTAGAGACAAAAAAGGATGGAGTTTTGCTTGATGGGGTCAGCCAGTCCCATATACATTTGTAATTTGTGTAGATTTATCTAGGTTTTGCTTCTGCTTTGGTGTGTGTGACCCTCCATGCAGCTAAAATGTATGTTTTGACTTTTTTATTGTCTAAACTTTGATTTTAAGGTGCTTTATGGATTTGTGGACATGTTTGATGTCATGTCAGTTTATTATTATTTTTGTTGACAGAGAAAAAAGCTGCAAAGTGAAGCTTTACAGCAGGGCTATTCAACTGGTGGTCAGAGGGCCACATCCGGCCCGCGAGTGACCAAAGTTCGGCCCACCAATTGGTTCATTCATCTCTTGAGCCCAAACCCCCGGTTTTGTACTTTAGTTACAATAAGTTATTTTTGTTAAACATAGACTTGTGTGGTCTCTACAGAAATGTCAGAATCTTGGCTAGAAGCTGATAAAAAAACATTTCTATGCACAATCAAAACAGTTAAAATTACAAACAGTTGAAGATAAAACTATGAAAGTGAAAATAAAATTGGTTTAAAAACTTGGCAAGTCAGAGATGTCCAAATAATATTTGTGTCAAATAGGAGGCAGAATGTGTTCTTTTTGTTTTTGATAATGTTTAATTATCACTACTTTTGAATGTTGTATTCATGATTAAATACAGCAAAATAAACTATTTCAAAGGTAACAGATCTTTGTAATACTTGTTTTATTTACATAATAACTTTAATTGCTGGATGTTTGGCCCCTGAACTGTTGACCTGCAGTAACTGTGGCCCCCGGAGCAATTTAGTTGAATAGCCCTGCTTTACAGGATAGCTTTAAATGCATAAAGYTTCAAAAACTACATTAAGTTTGATTCTTTTTCTAGTCAGTAATGCATACTTTTCAGCTACAAGCATTTCATAGCTAACACTTAAACTGCTTAATATTTCAATTCCACAATGGCTTTTACACTTACAATGAGGTGGCTGCTACATATTTATATAATATTTGCAGTTCAATCAAACTAAAAAAGCTAATATCAACTAGTTAGCACTAAATCAGACGATGCTTCATAAAATTTTGTGATTCCTGTTGGGATTTGTTCACTAAAATGACATAAAATAAAAACAACACAACATACTGTACAAACTATTTGGACCACCATGAAGATGATAATGATGTAAAACATTACTAACTGTTGAAAATATCCCAAACTGCAGCTGCTTGACAGGTCTTACATCTGAACGAAGAGTAAAGTATCACCCCCAGTGTTTACCTGACTCGTTATTCTGGGAGGTACTGAAGTGGAGTGAGGCCTTGGAGCTCTTCAGGCGCACCTGTCCCCAGTAGGTGACAGCCTGCAGCTCCACAGTGTAGCTGCTATTCTGCTGCAGTCCCTCCAGATCCACCCAGCTTTGAGCCTGCAGCAACAAGAAGAACAAAAAAAGACACTTAAACTTYGGCATTTTTATGTTTCCACACTGTCACTTGACTTTCAAAGCCCTGTCACTGTACCCGTCACGGCTCGAACTCAGCCACTTGCAGGTCTGTGGGAAAGCCAAGCTTATTAGGAGCACATCTGGAGCTGAGGAAGAGATCGTGGTGAGGAGATAGCCTTGAGGGGGTTTTGTGAAAGAGTCGTGTTATCAGAAGCCCCCGGGGCCTCTTCACTGTGCTGGACTTCCAGCATTCCACCGTCAGCGTGAACTTGATGAGTTCCTCTTATTGACTGAGTGTGTTTTGACATTCCTCTACCAGCAGGCTGCTTTCAAAGCCCCCGAGGTGCCAAAGTGGAAACCAGTAGTACATGTGTCAACAGTGTCTGGTGTCTCCCACCTCTATCTCCTCTGTACCACATCTGCTATGCATTTTTTTAAAACTAATTCAAGAGAAAAATCCATWGTGGTGTGCGTGGACTATCTAGACACTCTGTCTTTCCGCTGAAGTATCTCTGCACAGATAGTCAGCCATGTGTGCTATTYAATCATGTTACCATAGATGTACACACTGAATAAATAAAGTATCCAGTGTTTTATTTATGTTACCAGAGATTTAAGTCAATAAGCATGTTATTTTTGATTGAACATATTTTACATTCAAAATAAAACAAAGAAGAGGCTTTTGTATAGCTGACCTGGTCTGTGAAGGTTCAAACACCATTATATTATTGTTAAAGCCACTCAGCTGTGGAATGATTGACACACATTCACCTGGCAATGTTGCCACTGTTGGCTCTCTTGCTGTGAAGTCATGGACTTGTCCAGCCATGCAGGAAAAATGTAATTTCTGCTTCAGCTCAGCATCAAACACTGTTTTAAAAGGGGTCAAAGTGTTTTTTTTTTCACTCTTTTTGGAAGTAAGCTCAGCTCATCTTGTAACAGTTTAGTCTTTTTTCTGCTAGAAGTTATTAATTTCACACACTTTTGGGTGTTGATGTTAGAAAATGTGCAACCGTGTTTCTGTAGTTTAAAAACTGTGCAATCTTACAAAATATATGTATTTTTGTTATGTCCATAAGAGTCGTCTTGTTTCACCCTGTGGCAGTCCAACAGCTTTTCTAGGTAAAAAAACACGCAATGGAGAGATTTACAATTCTGCCAAAGATTCATCTGCCTGCATCAACTCTTTGCTGTAATTGAAACTGAAGTCTTGGTTTCTGACATTCCACAAAAAGAGCCATGAATCCTCTTTTTTTCATGCTGGAATGAATAGTTGAAAGTATTCCATTATGCAAAGATTTTCCAAGAAATAACAAAAGAATTTATAATAGAAATAAATGGTACTCTGTTTAAACATGGCATTATTAATGCTATGATTAGAGAGTGTTTTAGGATGATTTTGACCCTTAGTTTAAATACGTTGTTTTCTTTGATTTAAAAGATGATCAGATTTCAGGGATTGTGAGTGCAGTTATGGAAAATTGCATCTTGAAGCTGCTCAGATAAAACAATAAACAAATAAAGACTTGTATGGCTTTATAAATAAGTTGGTTACAAAATAAGTTGTGCAGAATGGATTCAAAATTCTTACTGAGCAGAAAACAAGTGAGATGTTTTGGAAACAGTCGTGATTTATCACTTAAAAGGGGGTATTCATCACACTTATTATGTTCCCCATCAGATCTTAACTTTGTTTAAAGGATTCTTTCATCAGTTTAAGGAATTAAAATAATGAAGAACACATTGTACCAATATGTGTGACTGATAGTCTTGCAAGTGAACATAAATAAATGCCAATCTTATGTAATTTCAAAAAGAAGTGGGTTGGAAGTTGGAGGAAAAGATGATAAACAAACTCTAGATGAGGCAGTGACGTCTTAGAGAGGATAACGGGTAAGAAAAAAAAGCAACATGGAGAAAGACAGCAAGAGAGGAGAGGATTACCCCATTGGTGGTCTTTCTCCTCTTCTTCTTAGATGGCACCATCGAYTTGCTGGGCACAGTCCAGCTCCAGAACACTTTGTAGTGGTGTATGGGAATATCAGGCTCTTCTGGCAGAGTCCAGTTGAGATGAACTGTCACCAGGCCTTCATCCCCCAATGTCACATTGGTGACGTGCAGATTAGTTGGGCTGGGAGGGGAGGATGGATCTGGAGAACACAAGTCAGAACTGCATTAATAGAAGCAGTATTTACATGTGTGAACACTTTAGAAGAGAGACAAAGGAGGTGTTTGGTTTCTTAAGTGACAAATTGTGCATCAAAGCGGGATTCGTGTATGTACATTTTCAGGTAGAAAGTGTCACAGACCAGGGGTCGGATTTATAAAACTGGCGTACGCACAATAAGAGCCCAGAAACGTGCGTATGCCACTTTTTACGCCAAGGTTGTGATTTATAAAATCCAAACTTGACGTGAAAATGTGCGGTGCCTCACGCCAGCGTTGACCCAGGCGTACGCTCATTTTGGAGACGTGAAACTGCGACACAGATGATGAAGTGAGGAATTAGASCCACACTGTGTAATGATCACTGTCAGATATTTAATTTACCTTCATAATCAGACTTAGATTTTTATTCAACTTTATCATCAGCTTTCTTAACAGTATTAATATTTATACTTCTGCTGCTGAGCCATGAGGACCTTTGAAATAAAAAAAAACTTAAATCTTAGATAAAAGCTCCCGTGCACAACTCCATTCATCTGCTTCCTCCTCAGGACCCTGACCCACAGACCCCTCCCTGACCCACAGACCCCTCCCTGATAAGAACAGCAGGACAGCAAAAGTCACACTTTGGATACACGCGCAGGGCGCATCCACCTCGCCAGTGTGATAAAACTTCACGTTTAAAGTCTGTATTTGTCACACGCGCGTGCAGGGGATGCGTGCATGTGTGTGTGTGTGCGCGCGGGGCGGGGGTGTCTGCCGCGGATAACAGAGCAGGCAGGAGGGGGAGAGGAGCAGAAGAGCGGTGGACTTATTTCTAATTTTATTTGACTTATTTAATTTTATTTTTATTGTTTTTATCGTCCTGCAGGCTCTGTGAGAAAATTAATTTGAAGCAGAGTATTTTTTAACAAAAATCATTAGATTACTCTAAAGCAAAATGAGGGAAAATCTGTGTCAATTACAGACATTCTGTTCACGTGAGCAGCTGTCAGTCAGCACCTGTCAACCTCCAGACGTACGACGGAGCGTGTCTGAGCCAATCACTTTTGTTGGTATTGATCAGCTGACTGATTTAAATACGTCTTAACATTCATGAGGTACTTTACATTGACTGTTTATGGTTGAGTGTGGGCGTGTAGAGGGTAGAGCCTGAGGTGGGACCTTGTGCGCAAACTCTGACATGCGGCTGTGATTTATAAAGGAAAGATGAAACGTGTGTACGCACGGTTTTACAAATCTGAATTTTTTTTGGCGTACGCCATTTCCGTCTTTTGGCCGTATGTTCACTTTTAGTATGATTTCCACACAATCCTTTATAAATGAGACCCCAGAACTATATTCACCATTTGAAGTCTGCATCACAGCCAAATGTGGTGGGGGGTGGGAGGGGGGGGTGCATCCAGAGTGATTAAGTGTAAAATAATTAGCCCTCCATTGACAATCTGATGTTTTAACAAGTGTCATGTCATGTCTATGACAGCATTCAGCACCACTGAGAGCACAGGTCAGGGGTTAACAAACACATGCTGCTCACTTTGGCTCCACACCCGGCATTCCTGTACGCTAACATGCGCACCATCCAGAATAAAGCTGCTTCAGAACTTGTCCATATGTTCCGTCGTTGTTATCCTGGTGCGGAGCCACACGCCAGACCAAAGAGGAACGGTCCCTTTAATGAGAAACTGATTGATTCATGCCACAACCCACTTGGCTCTCCTCGCGGCGGCCCTCTCTCACCTGAAGATAATTTGATTCAGTCCGAAAACACAAGTGGTCACGTCGGGTCTTTTAAACCCACAGCTGTGCAAGACAAATAAGCAGTCAGTTCGTACAAATTGCCCTAACAAAGTATGGTTGTGCAAAATTGCATTCAGATGATACGGCTGTACTGAGAAATAACAACTGCCTGACCGATTGGATGGTGGTTCATCAAATCCCAGACAACTCTCATCAATCTATCAACATTCTGGCACTGATTGGCCTGATTGGAGATCAGTTTCCATCCCTGCAGCACAGTCTTTCTCCTACCTGGTTTCTGCCTCCGTCTGATGGCCATCCATAAAGCTCCAGGGAGCAAAAATACGATGAAGAACTGACAGCCCAGGTCAACACACCATTTATACACTAATACTTTATGTATGCTGTACCGGCACATGGTGAGTCATAGTGAACCTTTTTTTTTCCATGTATATATTTTAACTCATGCACATATACACATAAGTAAACTCAAGGCTGCTCGAGGCATAACTCAGGGGTGTTTAGTCTTATTCTACTTGGTAAAGCAAAYGATGAATCAGATGCAGTCTATACAAAATATTCTATTCACATATCCATGAAAGCATAAAACAAGGGCCCGCAACTTTAACAAACGCAGTCTGCAGCGCAAAATATGCAGAACATTTGAGTCGAGGAGTGGCAAAACATGCCGATCGGTGGTTAGGATGTAAAAGGTTACAGCAATTTGTCTGGAATCTCGACAACACACATTCATTTAAAGTCTGTTAAATCCTGACCAGATCAAACTTGTGGCATTTCTTATGACTGTAATGGGAAGGAAATCTAACTTTTAAGAATAAACGTTCATTTTAAATACATGCTGACCCATCTTATTTCTAAAAAGTCTTCTTGGCGTGAAAAAAAAAAACTAAGCAGATACATTTGTGTAACCTGCTGAAAGGACACAGGAAATTTTAAATATTGTTTYGAGAAGGTACATGAAAACTCATGTTTAATCACACTCACTGTTTTAAATAAACACACCTAAACAGTGTGGACACCATAAGTCAAATTTGGTTAGTGTACTGTTGGCACTGAGTTTTATTTCATTCTTAATCAGTATGCTCCTGCATAATAGAGATGTAGAACTCAAAAGCTTCAAAGATGACAAGGCCTCATTTGTCATCGAAAGTGTCTCTTTTAATCTTCCAATGAAAGGTTGAGTGATTTTATAACATCGTTTTTAAAAAAGAAAAGGAAAAAAACACGTGTTATGTTTCAAGGTCTGTCCTATTTAATAGAAGCATGCTTTGTATGACTGTATGAGCGGTCAAATCTTGTATTAAAAACATCTTCACCTGTTTCATGCTTCTAACCATAACCAATGACTGGCAATCATAGTCAAGGAGCTGACCACACATGACCGTAAAGACACAAACCTCTGGAGGAGCGGAAGTGTTTACTGGGCGCAGTGAAGCCGCGGGTCCCGTGGACATTGACTGCTGCAACTCTGAACTGGTACCATCTGCTGGCTCTGATGTCAGCCAGTTGGATGCGCTCCTCTGCAGTCTGAGGGACAGATGGGGGGTGGGGCGGAGAGCAAACCAGAGGGGTCAGGGTTTACGTAGGGTCACAGCCCCGATTGCACATTTGCAGCCACATCAGTCATCTGTGTGTTGCTCGTTGCCAAACTTTCAAAGGCTCTGAGTGTGAGGAATGCACAGCAGTTTTACAGCTGCAGGATGACGCATGCTGGATTAAGTGAAGCTGTAACTTCACTATGAAACATATCGGATTAAAACAATACTGTCAAAATCTAAGTATAGAAACATTACATGCGATATTAACACGCATCATTATTTTTTGCTGTTTACTCATTTATTTTTTTTACCTGAGCAACTGTTTGCCACTCCGTCGCATCATCCTCGCTGGGGTGGATGCCGTAGTTCCAGCGGCGCTGCACCACGTAGAGGACGGGCTCCACCGAGATGTTGAACTTGGACGACCAGCGAATCTCCAGCTGACCTGAAGGCTGTTCCAAGAACACCAGATCCTTCCTCGGCTTCAGGGGGACTCCTAGAAAAGTGCAGGATGAGTTAGAGTCCCCTCTGTGTGGAACAGCACAGATGAAGCTCTGACATGAGAGTTGCTGTTTTTCCTCTCTCGGGTGACTGAAAGCTGGAAAGAAATGAGATCTGAGCTGGAGAGATACAGATCTGAAAATGAGACATGACCTCACTGCAATAGATTTAGTACATGTGGTGGGTTAACAGCATCAATTGTGATATTTCTTGGCTACTGCTTTAATGTTTTAGTAGCTGTGAATCCTGGTGATGATACACATAGTTTGCATTTAGGTATGCGAGATGGAGCGCAAAACATTTCTCTCTCTCCGTCTCTTACAGGTACAATGCACACATGGACCTACAAGAAGTTAATTTGCATCGCTGAACTTCACACTCGGCCTCCCAGATAGAGTCGACGTGGCCGTGTGTGATAAATATATGATTAGAGATTTATTAGGCGCAGGTCCAGGCCACACGCTCAGCTAAGCCAGGCTAACTCTCTCATGTAGATTTATTACCGTGGAGATATAGAGAGTTGTTGACTGAGCATTGGGCAGAGTGATAATGAGATGGAGATTGGAAAAACAAGGCTGAAAGTACAGGACAGGGCCGAACACATGACACTGTTCCTAATAAATCAGCCAGCACTTCAGACCATTGCGCTCCACCAAAGCTGCTCCATGTTTAACAAAAAGCATCACAGCTCAAGGCTAGTTATGAAGGTAAACAACGCAATCAAGGCTGTGTTTCCAACAAAGAGCATTTCATCCGTTTCTAACCCAAGGAGGTTCTATAGAACAGCTGGAGTTGGTCAAAACCACATGACCATGTGATCTAGCTATAGCGCTAAGTAAAATAGGAAAAAGTCTGGATTTACCATTACTGTACATGTTGGCAGCATAGTGAGAAAAAAGACTGATGATGTAGAAAATATGAAAAATATATTAATAATATCAATGAAGAATATTTTAGAGTGTATATCAGCTAGAGCTGCGACAATTAGTCAACATAATCATTGACATTGATTTAAAAAATTAGTCAACGCAGCATTTTAATGTCAACGCATCACCATGTAAATGTTCATTTGTAACTGCAACGCAATACATGAACTGCTKGGGGCAGAATCACTTCTGTCTGCGGTTGCTTCGTTTACTAAAGAAGAATGTGATGGCCTGCAAACCACAGAAGAAACAGAAGCCACAGTGGGCACATCAAAGAGCAGTAATAAAGATGGAACAGAAAGACAGTCGTATCAAAGAGTAAAAGAAACAAAACTTGACCTTTCCAAGGTTAGCTACATTTTACCGTAAAACAACCAAAGAAACTAAAATTCAGACTCTGTCATTTGATGGCAGGACAGCAGCTGTGATTACATGATCAATGCTAACATGTTGCAGCCGTGTTTATCCTTTCCAGGTGGATGTGTTTCAGAAAGTTAGCTTGTTCATCAGATTGATGCCTTATAAATCATATTTCCACTGACGGACCACTTTGTGCAGTAGCCACCTGTCTAATTTTTAACCTAACCAGATTAACAACCCCTCATTATGGGGGAGAGGCTGCTATTTTGAGTAATTTGCAAATGAGCTGTTTGTTTAAAAGACTATTTGCAGTTTAGTTTGTATTATATAATTTAATTATTATTACATTTACATGTATTAATGTTAAAATACACCTTTACATATACATTTGAGATTCAAATTCATGTTTCATGGGTCATAATTCAGTTAGCTATGACGTTACTTTTTATGTTCAGGTACTGGATAACATGGTGATGTTCACAGGTGTCAGCAGGTGAGATTAGATGTGTACTGGAGCTGGAACAGGAGCTGCGCTCACAGGAACCAAAAGATAGACGTTGTGACAGAAAAAAAATGTTGACTAATCGAAAAAATAATGGCAGATTTGTCAACTATCAAAATAGTCATTAGTTGCAGCCTTAATATCAGCTATCTGATGTTTTAAAAATGCGAGAATGCTGTGTGTTTTATGGATTTACCAACAGAAGAGAAACAGGAAAACATTTCATTACACAATTTAGCAGATTTAATCTTATTTATGTATGAATGTAGATGTGACTTGACCAGAACTGAAGCCAGCAATGTAACAGTTCTAAATTAAAGGGATCCCCGATTAGTTGTAACATTAAACTTTRTATGATAAACATATACTTTAACTTTAAAATGAAGTCTGTAGAATACTGTAGGATGTTCAGTTTTTATAATTTTTAAACTAAAAGTTTAAAAATATATTACACGGACGGGGCCATTTTATTTACATGCAAAGCATTCTGGGTAAATGATGACATCAACTAGGTCATCGGCACGAGGCTGCTAGCGAGCTATATCCACCCTGAAGGTTAATCTTGGACAATATCTGATGATCGACTCTTTTAAATGAAACCAGAGAGCGTTGACAGAGAGGAGAAGGTTGAAATGACTCAGTCTGTAACTGAAAATATAGATGGAGGACCTCAGTTTAGCTTGTTTGTTGCGCTAGCGCCGAGCTAATACAGACAAGGCAATATAGCGTGAGGGCTAGCATGAAGGCTAACAGGCTAAGCTGAGGTTCTTCTTCCATGAAGCAGCTCTGTTGTCCTCCATCCATATTTTCAGTTACAGGCTGAGTCATTTCTACCTTCTCCTCTCTGTCAACACTCTCTTGTTCCATTTAAAAGAGTCAATCATCAGATATTGTCCAAGATTAACCTTCAGGGCGGATATAGCTCGCTAGCAGCCTCGCACCGATGACCTAGTTGATGTCATCGTTTACCCAGAATGCTTTGTGTGTAAATAAAATGGCTCTGTCCATGGTAAAATATATATTTTTAAAAATTACAAACTGAACATCCTACAGTATTTTTATAGTCTTTATTTTACAGTTAAAATAAATGTTTATCAAATAAAGTTTAATGTTACAACTAATCGTGGATCCCTTTAAAATAAGCTTATAAAGCCAATATAATCACTGATAATTATTGAACAAGTTAGCAGATATGAGCTTCTGTAGTACGTTGTTATACAAAGTGTAGCAATCTGCTGAACCATGAAACAATTTAGCACAAATGATTAAATATTACAAGCCGACATTGCCTCTGATTTATGTAATATTCACAAAGTGTAACATAATATATATTTCACTATTTTTGGGTTTCTGTTAGATAAACCAATCACAGATGCTAAAAGTGGATGAGATAAGCAGAGCTCAGTCTAGTGATATTCAAGTCTATGTCCTAACCCTACGTAGTCTTCATATACAGTATAATACAGTATGTAAACACAGTTGATCCAAGCAGAAATTACAGCCCAGCACCTCACCTGTCAGAGATTTAATCTACGATCTTATGTTAAAAAAAATTACGGAGTTATGCCCATCTTGATCAAACCTTGAAACAAATATACTAAACCTACAGGATCCTTTAGCATTCAGACTACTGTATGTGTTAAGTACAACTCTCAGCTACTACCACATCAAATTTTAGCTCAGCATCTATAAACATGCCTGCATTATAGCCATGTTTTTGTTTTCTAACATGGACTAGCTTTGATGGCCATTTTAGATTTGGTTGACTAAAAAAGTTAATCACTTGTAGATATACATGTATTGATTACACTCAAGGAGTTTCATTCTGCAAAGTGGTTCATGAGATTTTTTGCTAACAGACCGACAGGGCTGACAACAACAATTAACACCAACATTTTAAACACACTTCTTAAGCAATTTATTAGTGCTATTAGTGCAATATGTGTTGGGAATGATTTTTCAGCTACTACCACTTTAAAACATGGCTCAATGTTTGTAAGATTTACTGAGTTACAGACACTTTAGTATTTGCTACGGTCAATAAACTGTGGCAGCTTTCTTGTATCAAACTGACTCCAAAAGCTATTTTGTTGTAGAAGTACATCTATAGATTATCTACTAAATGTTTCATTAAAGTCCATTCATTGTTCTGTTATATATTTTGCTAACACACAAAGAGTGTTGATTTTGCACAAAGTCTCTGTTAGAGCTGAGTATGAGCTGGGAATCACTCTCAACTACTAACTACAAACTCCACCTCAATATCTGTGAAGTTGCCTGAGTTTGCGATATTTTGATGTATGCAAAGGTTGATTAGCTGTGGCTACCATCTTGAATCCATTATAAATGGCATCCAGTAACAGAAGCACATCCAATGAATACTTTGAGAGTTTCATTTCAATCCGTTCATTGGCTCATGAGATATATTACTAATACAACAAACAAACCCATGCAATTACACTATGCCTGCCTGAAAATAAAAATAGTGAAGGGAGTCCGTACTTTGTTTTGTTCCGCTGATAAGAATTTTCTGCAAACTAACAGCTGGGGGTCATTGTGCTGCGGTTTCACAGCTGCACTGAAGTTTGGGAGTCTGCGAGTGTCTCTGTGYGCGCGAGCAAACGTGTCACATTTCCTGCGCCGCGATCAACACCAAGGCAACCGCAGCATTCTTCCTCTCCCCCCATCTGCCTTCGCTCATCCTCCCACAAGCACACTTGCAGGCCGACGCTCTCTTTCACTACATGTGGGAGGAATGACCCCCTTCACTCAGGTTGCTCTTTCCAAACATAACTTTAGCGTCAGGTTTAGTCCAAACATCCTACGGATCTATCGAGGGCCACACGTGCGCTCCAACCCATGATGTAACTGCCGCTGAGGCGTGCTCGGGAGTGCGCTGTTCATTCGCGTCAGTATCATGCCAATAATTACACTCCGAGAATATAATTCTCAAAACTCACGCACACACGGTCATAATGACTGCTTTAATTATAGGGGTTCCGAAAAACATTGTGATGCTTTCTATGAAGTCAGACGTGAATGTGATTGATTGACAGACTTGTAGCGACAGTGTGAACATGACTCACAAGATTTCATCTGGATCTGACAAACATATTTGCCAGAAAGCACACAAAAAATTTAAAAAGTCAGGTTGTGTCACATGCAGAGCTGCTTCTTCAAAGGAGTGGAGAACTGACAAAACTAAAAGGCTGTACGGAAATTTTAGAAACTCAAGACCCTAATAAAGCCACAATTTTATTTAAGGCACATTTCCTTTAGTGAGACTTGGAGCAATGAAAGAAGATAAAGTTTTATCGCACATCAAAGGCTCAGCGGGGGTCTGGTGTCTCTGAGAAAGTGAAGAGTGAAGTTTTTYTGTCGAAGGGCATGAAGCTGGGGACCCCAACCTGAACGCACACATCTGAGAGTGATCTCAGCGTGGGGGGAAACGCTCCATTTCTTCYCCGCTTGTGTTTGTTAATAGCTTCCAGCGCCATGGCTCATCACGGCAAAGACTGCATGAACACACGAAGAAGCAATTACGCTCTTCAAACCATGAGCGACTAATTAGACCTTTAACACCGAGGACCGGGACAGGAATTCCTCTCTGACTTTCCTCWGCTGAGCGTAATTCAGCGTAAGCGTGGTGCCGACGAAGGCCTGTCGCGAGCTCTGGGTTTGGACTGAACCTGCTGGGATGCCGCTGAAGCAGAAGGGTCTCGCTGTGCAGCGAGTGGTTTTCATTGACGAGGACACTGTGCTGAGACTGTCGACGTTTACAGAAAGGCTTTCATCTTTTTGTCCCAGATTAACGCCACACTCACCTTTTGAGCCCGACATCCACCATCTCGTCTCTTGAGACAATCCCTAATCAAATAAAACCACTAGAACCCCTCCAAAAGTCACGTATCACGTTTTTGCTGCACGGTACTAAATGGAGTTCACAGTAAAACATGCTTACTGTGATTCAAAGCATACGCCCCTGCAGTCTATCACTGCAACAGTTCAAAGCTTGATTTAAACTCATCTTATGCTGCTCCATCTCCTAAACTCTGTTATGGCCTTAGGCGGCCAGCACTTGTGAGCTGCTGACAGCGTGTATATTGTAGCTACCGTCTCCAGGTTCAGGGGCACTCGATTCTCTCACAACAACGACTCAGCACCCTCAGAAAAATCAAGCTGCCCTGAGCGGCACCATTAAACCCTCTTAGAGAGATACGTGAGTCTGGAAAACTCTTAAGCTTTTCCTACGATTTTCATACCAGAGCTATATATTCCAATTCAGAGCGGCGTGAAGGATGCGTGGGCGAAGCACAATGCAAAAGAGATRGAAGGAAAGATTTAGGACTCTGAGCACGCTGTCAAAAATAGAGGTGAGATAATCTGTTTGCTTCGCTGCGATTTCAAGCTGATGTTTAGCAGAGAGGGATGCAAACTGGAGCAATTAATCACATTAAAAACCCAGCGGACCGTGGATTTATTTGATACTATACCATTAAGTGAATAAAGAGGGGGGTGGGGGAGTAGCCCTTATTTAGCTGATGAACCGTGTTACTGTAATCTGTTATCTCTTGGAAATAATACAAAGCCATAATTAAATAGGGAGATGAGCTAAGTGGAAGACAGCATCAGTGCGCACAGTTAAATGCTTAGAGACCTACATGTATATATAATTGCTAATTTTACTTCTTGTTTTCTCATTTATATATCCACAGATGTATAATGCACAGAAAATAATTGCTGATTTTCTTGTTTTTCCACTGAGCCTTTCATTGCATCATTAATTGTTTTCTTTTTATTTACCTGTAGGTGAAACATTAAAAAGCAATGCTGTGCAATCAATCATTTTCCAAAATGACAAATTGTATTTTGCCATTGCAGCTGGAGTAACTAAAATACATTGAATTTAACAGGGTACACACAATACACTGATAAAAAAAAACCCTGATTAAAAGACAACTGCAGTAAATAGTAATGTTGAATTTCAAAGATTTTGAATAKAAGCATGAATTATGTTTTTATTATRAAGATCATGYAAACTGAGGGTGTGCTTMGCAGGGGTTGACGTCTCTTTATGTGTTTTAATTTGCTTAGTGTTTAAGCAGCTACATGTGCATCCTTGTGAATGGGGGTCCTCTTCTTTAAAATCGTCAGCACTTCTTTTCTTGGTCCCCCGATGAAACTATGCTTTTGTGTTTTTATTGCTAAAAGTAGATTCCTCAAATAATTAGGGTGGCCGATAGGGTGRTCAAAGACTCTACGGTGGGCAAGGCCACCAGTGGCTGCCCCCTGATTGTACCCGCTGGTGGATAAAATTGCTCTCTCTGCTTACTATGATCTGCCATTTTGCACCGCCTCAAACAAGCAAAAAAATAAACAGAAACTTTCTGTTCTTCTTATACATTGTGTAACTCCTACCCATTTGCATAACTTGCACCAAAATCATTAAAGTTTACATGCATCAATTCCAGTTCAGAAAAACACTAATTAAAAAAACTATTATTATTTCTACCTACATATATTTATTTTTTCATCATTTTATTTACATTTCTGTTTAAAGATATATGTGGGTAAAGTTTCTTGCGGGTACATTTTATTAGGTTGTGGCAGGATTTACCCACTTCAGGTATTCTTTAATTAGTTGTGTAATTTGCTGATTCAGATTTTATCTCATCGATGGCTGTCACTTTGTGTACTGTTTACTGTTTTATATTCTGCCYGAGTATAAAAGCACTCAAGTAAAAAGAAAAAAAAGGGGGAGGGGACGGAGTTTCTCTATAAAGCAGTTCCAAATGACTGCAATGTATAAGTCATTAACAACAGTGCTGACAGCTATTATTCATCAAAAATGCATTTACAAACCAAAACGCTGGCATTTTTTCTTGGTCACTGGATCAGTCTTAAATATTGCACCCATAGAATAAGAAGGGACAGCCTCAGGCAACAAACAGGCTGTGAAACCCCAGCTCCTTAAAAAAAATGCTAACAGCCTTCTTAATGTGCCCCACTGTGGTTGGAAAAGTACTTGTGCCACGAGCATGATGAAATCTGTTCGAGTAATGTGATTTTGTGTGGCTGTGCTGAAAACTGATACAACACTTGTTCCTTTGTTGTACGTTCGAACAAAGCAGCTGCTCAATGTTTGCCATCACATTCATTTAGCCACAGCCGACCGCCGGTGCTGCCAAACCAGCCACGACTGRATTCTGACCGATTTTGATCTCGCRCGGCGATTTCCTGCTGCAGGATAATGACACACAACGTGGTGCGACTTTTGTTTCCTTTCATTTGCTTCTTACCTTTGTAGAGATTCTTGGGGACCTGGCAGGTGTGGCCGCAGCCGTTGCTGCAGCACTTYTTGACTCCTGAGCACTCTCCGTCCTCCTCGCAGCTCTCCACACAGGCTGCAGCGAAGCCACTGGCCTTCTCGGGTGCAGGGCAGTCGCCTTGCTTCACTCCCTCCACAGACTTTAAGAACTCACAGCTTGTCAGACACTCATAGTGCTTCTTGGGAAATAGGGGCTACATTTTAAAAAAAAAAAGAGGGGAAGCAGAGGGAAAATATATGTCAGATTACTTTTTAAAGACTTTCTACAAACAGGCAGCTCTTTGAGTCAACAGTGACTGTCTTGTTTAGGTTTCAGCTTATGACTCACTGAATTGGTGAATGCATTAAGCGGCTCTGATTCAGCCTTGCAGAGGATGTCGTTACGGTGCAGAAAGAGGTACTTTTTACCCCTCTCAAACTTTGACTTCAGTAGATCCTTCCCCCTCCTTAAGTTTGAAAAGCGCAAACACCCAAATCTGAGGTAAGCTCTGGATCTTTGGTAGTAACGTACCTCACATAAATCTTGGCACTGGTTTTCTTTCAGGTCCCAGGACTCCTTGCAGGGCTCCAGACACTGAAACAGAGAAGGGTGTCAGTTATTCAAAAGAATCAGCCACATCAAAGACCTGCTGCTGCCGTGGAGATGATGTCTTCTGTGCTTGTGGCCTACTGGCACCTCATCCAGGCACTTCCTCCGCCACGTTCACACCAGTCACAGCCCATTTTCTTACAAATGCCAGGGATACTTTTAAAGGACTTTGACGTATGACAAAAGCCAATGAGAGGCAAAGAGGCTGTCTGTCATAAGCAGACTGAAACAAGCAGAGCTGGAAATCTACTTATGTTTGGGTTTGTTTCGTGTGAGTCCTGACAGATCCTCTCTTTGATCGCTAACACCAGTAGCCCCACATACTGCTGCACCTCATTCTCATCCTGCCACCTCTCCTGCTCATGTCTAGACTTGATAGAGTCTGGTACTAGCGCTTAAAGAAATAGTTCTGCCTTTTTTTTTTTTTTCATTTTTCCCCCCTTAAGAGGGGCTGCCTGGTGTAGTTATGAGCATTCAGTATTTTATCTGGGTTAGACAGCAGCCAGAGTCATGTCAGTCTGGCTATCAGAGGAGAAATGCTCATGAGAAAGTAGTGCTAAGCCCTATTTGGAGAAGGGCCCATTAAAGAGTGGGTTTCCACCATCTAAGTTTAAGTCAAACTAAAATAAATAWATAATGATACGTGTAAGAAAACTAAACATTGAAGATCTGTTTTTACTGACAGTTGTTTATGTTATTTAAGATATTAGCTGGACTCCCTTGTGAATTACGTAAAGGCTATTCAGAGCAGAACCCTTTTACGAAGGGTTAAAAAATAACTTGGCAGCTGGCGATTTTCACTGTGTAAAATCTAAATTTAGATGCATTTGCACCGAATACTTACTGCAGTAAGTACTCTCATTTGGAAAGATTGTGGTTAAGTTATTGTAAAGCTTGTTTTCCACTTCAATATGACGTGAGACGTCTGTGATTGCATATTTTTTAAACCTCAACATATTCTAATGTTAACTTGTTCCTATAATATTAATTACCCTGAAGTTTTAATATATTTGATACTGTGATTAGTTTTTTCTTTAATCACTCACTTGAATATTAAAAAAATGAGACATTTTTATTCTTACTTCATGACAGGTTTTGAGTAAAATAAAACAATAAAAATTCWAATTAATTGTTGTAAAATGGTATACAGGTATTCCTGTGCAACACTAACACAAAATTGTGTTAAAATTAAACTGATTTTGTTCCAAATGCCAGGAAAGTGTGTTACGTTGTTCTAAATTCATTTCTCTTTCTTTCTGGGGGAAGACCTCCAGAACCCCCTTGATCAATTATTTAATCAGCCCCCTACTTTTTCAAAATMGCCTCCTATTCCTGAAACTTTTGAACCCCCCTTTTTAAAAAAATGGATTTCCATAAACTAAAGCAATAGTGCTCTTTATTCAAGCTAATTTTAGAACACTMCTCACTAGCTAGTCATATGAATAAGTACACAAGACTGAACTTGATCTTAAAGTTTTGAATTYAACTAAATTCAGTTTGCAGATTTTTTTTTTCCGCCTGGCTCGGAGTTAGCCATAGGTCAAGTAAACACTTTACTGTTCTCCAAACTGAGGTTGGTCTGACTTCTGTCCACTGCAGGTGAGACACTGACTGGTCATATCTAATCCACACAACCTCACTTTATAATAAACCAATAAAATGCACATAACAAAAAGCATATATAAGTATATCTACTGTATGCAACTTCTCTTAAACAGGGCTAAAATAAGATTGTTTTTTAAAATTAAACTTGGTTTGCTTCTCATGTGTTTGCCTAATTTTTATAAAACACATGGAACAAATATTTCTAAATGTTCTAAAGAGGGAGAAGAAAACAAAAAGATAAACTTGTGCTGCTTAAACTCATTTCGCCAAACATAATGGGATGATAGGATTTCAGAAATTAAGTTTACCATTTTAGTCCAACTTTTCTTGTGTTAAAACACAACAACGGACTCCCAATTTAAATTAAATTTAAACTTAACACAGTTTAACACAAACAGGCCAGCATGTCGTTGGGGTTCAGATTGAGAGAAGCGAGGCTCTTTAATCCTGCAGCAGCTGGCTGCTGGGAGCTGGTGTGAAAGAGAAGAGCAGGCTCAGTCAAACCACTGCCTGGCTGCATCTGTACAGTGCTGGGAGCTGCCCAAACCGCACCACACAACAACCTGCCAAAGCCCCTCATTCAACCCTATTTAATTTAAACTCTTTCGTCAACTACAGCACAAAGGTAGATTGGATAATGAAATTTCAAGGCGTTCTCCTCCATTCCTCATAGGGTGTCCGACATGTTTGTATTTAGGAGATTTTAATAAGACATGGATTTTCGGTTAGAATGAGCCTCCTAATAACAGCTTAGAATAACATGGCGTTATGTAAGGTACAGTGCTGAASAGTGGTTAAATGAGGCCATTTATTGTACAGTAGAGACTACGTTAAACACCAAAGCTGATGCAAGAAATTTCACATCTCAGTCGGGGGGCCAGAGTTGTATTTATTACTCTTTAATTTGCCCATTAGCTTGCGCTGTCATTATAATACCATTGCCAGTGAAAAGTTTATTTGCTTTTTATGGAGTGTGGTGGATGGGAGCAAGATGAAACATAAACCTTGCTTCTGAAGGACACACAGCAATCAGGAGTGCRGACAAGCCTGCCAGCACTCAATTACTCTCAGGCTCTCGGCCGACTCTTTGCTTCGCCCAGCAATGTTCGCGACAGCCGATAAACTCGGCGCAAGTGGCATGTCGAGTCTGTTAACTGCTGGCTCCAGCGTGCACACTGGGTTGGGAGGAAAGGGATTTTCTTAATTGTTTCACATCAGTATAGATATCACTCTAATGGAAAAATGGAGTTGACAAAAAAGTCCCGACACCTTGGTGAAAGAAGAGAGCTCCAGGAGCCGCCAGTGTGGTTTCAACAGGTGAAACCAATTCAACACTTGGGAGATTTAGGATGACATTCGAGCTTGACTGCCCTGTCAAAGTTAGACTTCAGTCTGCGCAGTTTGAAAATCATCTGTTATGAATAACACAGTAACTTTATATCATTATACTGTTCTCATTTGAGAGTTTTGGGAGTACAGTCTGTAGCGAAGCAGCATCCCAGGCTTGTACAAACCCCCAAGCAGGAACAACCAAGCGTCGAGGCAGCGACTGCATGCTGAACCGACGCCTAAAGGACGTTCTGCTAGCAGACGCACATGTTAAAGCCCCCAAATCCCCTCTACAAATCACTGAAAATACACATATAAGCCCGGGGGATCAAGCTCATTTTGCACATTGAAAGATCTCGTGAGCAGAGACTGAATGCATTCCTCTGGCATTTTCTTAGGCACGAAAATTTCTCTGGTCCACGACAGTCCCAACTATACAAGTGAAAAATAGAATCAGCGTTATCTCGAGATGCTCGAGCTCCAGTGCCAAGCTGCATGAATTAACACAGCACATTGCGTACTAATGATACTGCACTACAAATCAGAAAGCTGGCTGTGTGTTATCTCACCCACACTGTCCAAATTTTTTTCCTTGTTTTTTTTTGTTTGTTTGTTTTGTTTTGTTTTCTACAACTCACCAGGGGAAACGTTTGCAAACTAACAAAACCAATTGAATTCTCGCAGAAACTTTGAAGGTTTAAGTGGTTATATCATAAACGACACTAATAAATGATAAGCATCTGTGTTGGGACAGAGGGCTCTCTGCAGGTGTGCTGGAAACTGGCAATCTGTCAGCGTCGCTCCACAGCCACACCCACATCCTGACATTTAGGGAGGGAAGAGGCRGTCCGACGACAGATGTCTTGCCAAAGCAAATAGGACGGCTGGAAATAATTAAAAAAGGTGCTATCATCAATCAAATGCTTGATTCCTATTTACACAGTTTGGTACTCAATCTAAACCCTGTTACTGATGCATTCAGAAAAAAGGTTTGGGAAAAAGTTTCTGTTGTGCAACTTTTTTGTGTGTACTTTTAATCCTCTGCAAACACAAAAAGAACTGCTTTCAAGTGTATGGTTTTAATTCTACAAATGTATTTTAATCATAACAAACCAAAATGTTAATAAAATGTCTTTATGAAAAAAAGCAAGTGTTCGCACTACATCGTAGATTCTTTAAATATTTGGATTAAAGGACGCCTTTGTAAACAAAGTGAAGGGCATAAAACTGAGCTGGACACAGCGTATGTATGTGCTTGGTTGGGCTGCCAGCGTTGGGTCTCCCTCAAGCAAATTTCTTGGGCTGGCAACACAGCTACCATCTGTTTAAGTCACACAAGGAATGCATGCATTTATGCCATGGGATGTTAACATATTTCAGGACAAATTTCCCCTCCCCAAAAGACATAAATGGCCATATAGTATCTATAAGAGCCTTGGTTGTTTCTTTGCATTTGAGCGTCTGATTTTCTCTTTGTCCTCTTATCGTCCTGCCCGATGGTGACACATTCCGCATGGTTAAGTAGGAACATCCACAGCGGTCTTTCACTCCCCATTTCACGCTGTAATAAAATGCAGCAGTTGTTACTCTGGGGGAGCCTGAAAGGCATACTGTGGGGTCGATGAGAAAGTCGGGCTGAATGGTGGCCAACACCGCAACCCATCTTCACTTTTCCCTTTTTTTTATGATGGGGACAAGATGGTAGGAACGGTTGGGTTGGGGTTTTGTAGGTGGGTGGAGTGGGAAGCAGAGAGACACGGGGTCGGGGAAAGTGGGGGTGCCGCGCATAGAGCTGGCTTTCTCTATCACAGCATCTCCACCCATCATAAAAATACTTGGTGCCCCAAGTGAGCGACTGAAATAACAGCAAGTATGGAAAAGTCCTCGTATAAAATGTCACACAAGAGTTACATTTTAGTTTATGGAGCATGAACTGCTACCAATCGGGGCTGCCCCAAGGTTTAACAATACGCAGTGTGTACAACACAATGCATGAACCATTATTCAAACTTATGGCAGTTTTCTATTTTTGTCCATTTGGACATTCATAT